TCATTAGCATGTTCTGGAGATGCTCTATTTTTACACTTTTGCCATAAAACAATATAATGAGAAAACCAATTCCAGACTTGTTTCATAATTAACATAAATGGAAGCAAGAGCAAGTTTTATTGTGCTGCAGCCTGCATTTCCAAAACAGGCAAAGTTCATGCAGTCACACCAGGTTTTCTCTCCCTGCCTCACCCCAAGTAATGCCAAGTTCAGTCACATTTAAAGGTTCAGGTCTCAAAACCACAACATTCTTAGGAGCTTTGCAAAAAGTAGATGGAGAAGCAAAACTGAGATAAATGTCCCTAAATCAAGGAAAAGGAGATACAGTTGTGCTTCTCTGCCTTTCCAAGGCCCAGCAGGTCATCAGTGACACACAGAAACTCCAGAGCAGTCAAAGCAGGTGTTGTCACTGCCCAGCCTTGCAAAATGAGACAGGCTTTGCTCAGTGACTTCATAATTCCTTGTAGGGAATAACTATACACTGTACTGATACACATTATGTTTATGGATGCTTGGTGGGAGGGAGGCTTTACTGCCTGCTTGTTTTAATATGGAAAAAAGGGCATTCAAAGCTCCCAGAAGAAAAACTGTGCTTGAGTTTGGGGTTCCAGCAGAGCTGCTCTTTATAACTCCCTGCTCTTTATTTACGCTGAAATCAGGGAATGACAGAGCAAAAGGTCAAACCCTGTAACAGCCCTAGAAAATCCTCTTATTTTTTGAGTAAACTGGGATGCCAAGTCAGTACCCTGTCTTCTGTGTATTTTCAAAAGCAGAATACATGTTCAAAAGTGGTTTATCTCTGCCATATACTCCAGTTAACAGGGGTTGAAGTTACTGGATATGAAACTCAGTAAGTTTTGTGTCCCAAGAATAAAAAGCCTGTGGAGTCCAGCCCACTGCCTGGCCTTGGAATGGCTGAAATGTGCTGAACTAGACATGTTTGCGTATCCCAGGAATTAGGTCTACAGCCATAAATACATTTTTCTTTAAGAAAACCTATTTGCCATTGCTGCTTAGAGCTGTGAAAGCCACTTGCTGCTGCTTCACATGCACATTTCTTTCTAACAAAAAAATCAGTGAGCATCCTCTTCTGATACTGGAAATTGGATGTAGGGTTTAGAAAACTCATGTGAGGTGGAGGGGAGGCTCTCTCACATCAGCTGTGGTAATCTCTGTGTTGTAACCCTCTCCCCTCACCCCCTCCCAGCCTGCAGTGTACCTGAGGTTGAGGAACCGAGCCCAGGGTCGGTACCTGACGGTGGCTGGGAGCCTGGCAGACATCAGAGCAACCTCAGTGTGTGCATCCCCCTACAACGGCAGGAACACCCAGGTCTGGCACTACTGCAGGGGGCTCTTCAAGTCCAGGGTGAGTTTCCAGGTGCTGGAAGTGGGTGGGTTGTATCCCTGCTCTCCTCTGAACTTCACTTCTTGCTTTTACTCTAGGCCACCACTAACACCCAGATGGCTTTTGTTCTCTCTTAAACCAAAACTCTTAAAAAACCTACATCTTCTTACTATGCATAGGTCACTTTGAGCTGTCTGCTTGGGCAAGTTGGGCTACTTCTCACATCTTTCTAATGGGACTGATGCTTCTGGAAGTAGAAACCAGCAGAAACCTGGTTTTGTCTAAAGTCGCAAGTTTAAGTTTAAAACTTCAAATAGTAAAGAATTTATCTGAAAAGTAATGTGTGAACAGAGTAAGTGATTTTCTGTTAATGCTGCCCTTGATAGTCTGCTCTTGGTATAAAAAAAGCTGATAATTTAACATAAAAAGCTGATAACATAAAAACCTGAAGTAGCAGAGACACTGCCTTTGATGAAGCAGCTGATCAAGCTGCATAATCTGCTCACTTGCTTGTCAGGCTTCTTACCAACTCCAGCACCATTTCCTGACATATGCTCAGTGCCTGAAACAAATCAGGCACAAAACTGAGGCTTTGTGGCCTGGATCTCACCTCTCTTCTTGTTCCTTAGGCCAACAATGCCTGTCTGGATGTCATTGGTGGCAGAGACGTGCCTGGGGCCAAAGTTGCCCTCTGGGCAGAGCATGGGAAGGACAGACAAAAGTGGAGACTCAACGAGGATGGAACCATCAGTTCATACCTCAGTGAACAACTGGTCCTTGATATTAAAGGTATTTAAAAAACAAACAATCCCTAAACCTCTCACATGTTTTAGGTATGTTTTTTGATTAGGGTTAATTGCCATGTTCCAGCTTTTTTTTTTTGTGCTTAAGGTTTCCTGTTAGGTTTATGTCCGGTTGCTCGTCAGTGGGACAACAGGGCAGGGAGGAACCTTTCTCTTTTGATTCCAGAGGTTTATTTTGATCAAATCAACTACTGTACTTCAGGGAGTTAAGCAGGGATGATGGCAAGGAATGTAAGTTAAAGACAAAATGGTGAAGAAGCAACCACAGAACAGCTGTGGCTCAAAAAGTGAAAAGGAGTTTAAAAAAGAAGGCTGGTTAAAATTGTCGTTGCTCAATTACAGACACCTCATGGAATTTCTGTTTTTCAGCTAATTTTCCTACTTAATCATACTTCCTAAATATTATCCATAGATTTTTATGAGCGTTTCTTTTAAAAAATTTTCCTTCATGACTTTCTTTTGTTTTTAAGGAGGAAATTATTATGACAAGAACCACGTCATTATGAATCAGCCAGTAGAAGACAGACCTTCACAGAAATGGGATATAGAAATATTGTGAGTAAAACCCACCCCACAGATGGACCTTCTGTGGGCTATTAACATCTTAGAGGGGGGGAAAACAAGACCCCAGCTACTGAAGTCACACACCACTGAAACCATAAGCAGCAACTCCTCTCTAATTTCCTTCATACCAAGCACCAGCTCTTTGAAGAACTGAATTTTGCACAAATCTGGAAGAGGGGACGTTGATCCAATGTCTCTCTGCAGGGAAGTTGATTTTTCGGAGGCTGCTCCTATGAAAGTCACTGTTACTCTTCATCTGAAGTATGAAAGGTATAAAAGTATAAAAGACTAGACATAGGTTTTGCAGTATAGGAACTGCAAGAGATAACATGGGAAAGGCTCTTCAGAGATGTTGTCTTTACCTTCCTCACACTGATGGAAGCTCCTTGAGGAATGAATGCACTGGTGAGCTTGAAAGAAGGGGAGTTGGACTTTCATGTCCCAAGCGAAACTTTGGGCTCCAAGCAATCCTGAAGCTCAAATCTTGCTAAAATGCAATTTATTGTGTTCATAAAGACAACTTTGAACTGGAATTCCAGCTCAGCATGTGAAATGAGGTGATAGAGAAAGCCTGACTCTCACCCCCTCAATGTTACTGGTCAGCCTTTGCCTTCCCTCGTTTTCACTGTACCAAATTCCCAGATCCAGGAACTGGTTTTGCTGCCCTGTGGCCTGTTCACTACCCATGCAATTGTGAGTTATCCCTGAAGATCACCTTTAACAGGAGCCATATGTGCATGTATCAAACCAGGGATAAATGGCCCTGGGTCAGGCTGCACTTCTGCAAGGGCTAAAGCTGCGTTTAGCACAGCAACGATTTTAAATGTAGCTGTATTTTGGTTCAGTGTACATAGCTTAATTTAATGCAATGTCATTTGATCTTGAAACCACGTCTTCCTGCAGAAAACAACTCACCCTGGCATGTATTTTCAAAGGTGCTGGCAGCCTGCATTCCAGTGTTGCTTAATGAGAAATCCCTCAGATCACTGGTTTCGGCATCACTTACCTACTTAATTGAAAATACTTTTTTTTTTTCATATTTGTATATTCAGGGTATGTATTTCTAGGACTATTTAAGTTCAGGTTAGCTAAAGGCAAGATATTTTAGATTCCAAAAGCTGTAACTATTTCAGTTGTGCACTCAAACAGGATCACCCCCAAACGAATAGACACAGCCCCAAGTCTGCCATAGAAATAAAATATATGGATGTCTATTTTTGTATGAAATGGAGTTCTATATAGTACTATTTAAAAAAAAGAACTATCTACTTGCACTTACTATTTTACATTCTAAAATTACCATAAATCTGCTGTTTGAGTAACAGATCCTCAAATGTATGTATATATTTTTCCAACTAAAGCACTTGTTTAGCTTTTTTCCTTGTAAGTCAGTACATCAAGTGTTCTGCACGTGACTTGCTTTCCATATGAAATTTTAAAAGCCTGTGTAAAAAGTTGTAGTTTTTTAAATGAAGAATGACTAAATCATATTTGGTGTCTCAGTGTTACATAACAAAGGAAAGCAGGCTTTTGTACTTAGGAGACCTTGAATGTAAAATGCTAAAGCATGTATATTTTAACTGTATAAAACTTTTTAGGAGGAACATTTTGCTCGTTGGTTTCTTTTTTTAAACAAACTAACCAATAGTTTTTAGCGGGTGTCAAGCATATTCCTGTAAAATATTTCTTTTCAAATGGACAAAAAAAAAGGGATAAGTATCTTGAGTACATGGCTCTGCTGTCACGTGAGTTTAATACTTCACTGATTTCTAATAGTCAGGTAACTGCACTACTCATCAAAACCCACTTGAGTGAGCATTGAAGATACAGGCTCCAGTCAGAGGTTTTTGGGTTACTTTGACATTAAAATTGGTGCTGGGGGAGCACCAGTGTTGGCACCATCTGAGAGAAAAGGGGTTTTCTTGGGCAAAATTTTCCCCTTTGGGAACAGCACACACAGCTTTTACTGAGAAGCTTCTGTCCTGTCAGGGCAGTCAAACTGAACAAACGTGTTCTCTTGCTGCTGAACTTTACAAATGAAGAAAATCAAGTTACTGTTCTATGCCCAAGGTTCTGGATCCTGCCCCATGAATAACTTTAGCAGCTCTCCAGAGGGAAGGGGATACCACAGCACTGGTGTTACTAGGAGAGACTTTGTGCATCCCCAGACATGGAGCTGTGGCTCACTAGACAGTGAACAGCCTACTTGTTTTTCCCCATGCCCAGTTTCCTAAAACTGAGGAAAGAAAAGCAAGTATTTGTTTAGACAGCACCACAAACCAGAGGCCGGATGGATAAAAAAGTAATTTAATAAGCCTCGCTCTCAGGAGATGTTTAATAGCCAGAAACACTCCTTTAGAAGAGCAGCTAATTCACAGAAGCATCAAAGAACTTCAATCAGACATTCACTCCACAGGGACAAGGCAAGGTTTTCCTTCTCTTCATCTGAGGTGAGGTTAAGCTCTTTAACATGAACAGTGCTGCTACTCCAAATCTGCTTCAGTGCTTCCAGGTACGACAAAGGAAAGCGCAGCCCATGAGTCTGCTGGGGAAGAAGAAACAGAAAAAAAATCCTTCAGCTGAGAGCAGTGTCCTTATTGCACAGCAGTGTGTGAGGCTGTGGGTAGGGAGCAGCAGGAATGTGCTCCCTTCCCACATGGCACTGGTGTCACTGAGAGCATTCTCCAGAAGACTCAGTTTTTATCCAGTTTTTATATGTTTTATCTTCGTAAGGAAAATGCTGAACTCTATTCCGTGTTCTAGCACGCTTTTTGAGGTGGGGATGTTTACAGCTCGTGGCTTTCTCCTGTGGTTTACACGTTGGAAGAATTAAATAACCTTAAACTTACACTCTTGCCTAGCCCTACCCATTATTTTTGGAAGCTCACAGAAGTTTATTTCTAGCTGCCACACACAGTCTTAGATATAGTTTGACACAAGCACAGAGGAGCTCCATTCCCAGGACTGGAGTCTTCAAGGGCAAGAAGGAATATTCTGGGATCTGCACATGTTGTTCAGGTGCCAGTGTACAACCTCAGCTCTGGAGGACCAGTGAGATTTACCTCCAAAGGAAAATAAGTGCCAGGCAAAAACCCTTGCTGTAATTACCGAGACAAGGACAGACTGTGCCCTGTTTTGCCTCTATTTGTGCAGACCTGAATTCAAGTGTTTCAGATCACAGAGCTAAGACACAGCATCTCACTGCCAAAAAAGCAGAAATAAAGGTTCCAAAGCTCAAAGCCATGCTTAGGAAGGATTTATGACCCAGCAAAAGCACACTGTACCTGCGAGCAGGAACAGAGACAACCTGAAAAGTACATTTCAGAACAAAGTAGGTCTTTACTCCCAGTGCTGACCCACCCTACCCTAAAATGAACACCCCTGCAGTGTGTTCCATTGGATACAGAATCTAACATGGGTTTAGCATGGCAGTGATCCCTAGGGAATATCTGCTGGCCTATCCAGTAGCCTCAGTAGAGGATGTGCTAAGGACACACCAGGAAGAGCTGGTTTTAGTTGCTGCAGTAGCTTTGCTCACTGGGCCATAAGGCATGCACCAGAAATCCTGTTAACATCTCGAGTGTTTAATGAAGCATGAGATCACATTACTCAGTTCCACTGTTAAACTGCCTCTGTGGTGCAGCCTCAGCTCATCTGGGCACTGCAGGGCTGGGCAGAAAGGTTCTGGGTGCTGAGGATCACAGCAGAACCCAGGCCCTGCTGCCATTTTGGGCAAGCTCATCTCATGCAGCAAAACCCACCATGGAAAGATAATTTTTGCTGGGTCTGCAGGAACAAACCTGGGCCGTGCCATCCTCACTGCCAGTGTCATCTGTCCCCATCATGTGAGTGTCTCTCCTGTTCCTTAAGGAATGATACACATAAACCATGTCCCTGCGAATTTCATCCTAAAAGACAGCAGGGAGGAAACAGTTACATGTCATCTACAGCCTCAGACTCATCTCACTGCAGTTGCCAATGCTCCTGAATTCTGGAGTCACTCTTACACCAAAGCATGCAAGTCGCCCTCCCAAATGAATTTTCCAACAGCCACCTCCCACAGCAATAAGGGACTCTCCAAAACACCTCTGAAAATTTATTTACAATCATCTTCTGCCTTAAAACTGCCCCTGCTAGAGTCCCAGAAGTGATGCTGTACAGAAAACAGGCCATTTAAGGGAAAGCATTAATGAACAGGTATGCATCAACACATTTCCAGTCTGATACTGATCTGTCTCTTAAAAATCACATGCCCATCATCAGTCCTTGGTCAGAGCTGTGCAAAGCAATTCAGAGCTCTCTGGGCAGGTTGCACATGGAATTTGTGGACACAAGTCTTCCGTGTGTCCTGTCATCCTGGGTTGATCTGTGTGACATCAGAAGGCAAGGTGGCCAAAAAATTGGGGGGAAAAAGTCTCCAAAACCTACACAGTCTCACAGCAATATGGAGACAAGCAAGATGGAGGAAAAAAATCAGAAAGTTATGGTGTGTTTTTCTTGGGAAACACTCCATTCATCAAAAAAAACCCCAAACTGTACAAGATAATCTTTGCTGTGTGTCCTGCCCCCCCCCTTTTTTTTTAAAGTGAGATAACAAAAAGCACTTCTACAATTCCATACTAATAAACCTTCATGGGTAAGAAGTAGTATAAACACAGCATAATGCAAGATGCATGTATCAATGTTGTGGAACAACTTAGTTGTGCCCCTGGCACCTGCTTGGATACAGAGATAACTCAGAAGTGAAGACTAAATGCAGCCACAGCAGCAGCTGCAACCAGCAGAATTCCTTCTCTTGAGAAAACCTATTTTTATAAATTATTCCTATTCTTAAATACAAAGAACAGAAATAAAACCTATTATCAAGAGCTGTAAAGGCCATTTAGCTGCTGTAGGATCTACCCATCAAACTTGAGACAAAAACCATGCACCTCCCATACAGAATCATAGGCTGAATTTAGTTTTGAAGCCCCCCCTCCAGAAGGTTGGAATGTGCCATATCACTCAACAAACAACCCCACAGTATCCTAACAAACCCTAATGGGATGCAGGATCCAGCTCAGTGTAACTGCATGACCCTTATAGACCTTTGGCACAGGAGAGCAACAACTCACATGCCTCACATGCACTGCCCAGCCCACCCCAAATGTACAGAGGTGGCTTCACTGTACCCACAGCATTCTCTTGATCTGGTTCCACGGAGAGGAGAGCGTGATCTCTGAACTGCAGTCTGATTTTGCTGTCTATTTTTGGCAATTTCCCACCTAAGAAAAATAAATCCTCCCTTAGAAAGGAAGAAAGCCAGACAAACGGTCAAACTGAGCCCTCCTGTGCTCTCCCCACTCTCTCAAGGCTGGACTGTTTGTTAAGCTATGTTTCAACACCCACATGTCCTCAAACTTGCTGAGGAGGGGACAAGGAGAAGGAGATTTTTTAATTCTCTCACCTTTCCTGTCTGCAAATAACTATAATAAATAGCAAGCTAGAGCCCAGGGAAAACTGCTACCAGTTAAATGCTCTCGGGATACAGTTTATCACAGCTGCCAGTTCCAGTCTAGGATAATCTTTATTCCACTCTAAGGGAGTGTCATCTCTCCCACTAGGAGTGCACCCACAGGGAGCAAACACACACGTGGGGCCTCACAGCACATGAAGCTCATGCTGGACTGTGATCTTTGCCTACCATAAAATACTAAAAGTCCCAAGAGGAGCAGAGTTAGCAACAGCTCCTCCATCACATCAGCCAGTTTTAGTAACTTCAAAAGCCACCTGGAGTCAAGGAATCGGAGTCACATCCCAAGTAAGGCGGCAGCCGGTGCATAATGAAGTCCTTCTTCATGTCAGATGACCTCAGTTCCCTGGTGTGGTCCAGGTGGTCTGCAAGCCTCCTCAAAAGGCTGCTCAGCTTTTTGGTGGAGTCAGCTGTATTCACCTGCTAAATATCCTCACATGAATTCAAGCTGCACAGACCAGGCCTAAGCCAGTACAGAAATGCTGTAAAACTCTGGACACTCCTCTTTTATCTTTGCAAGGTTAACACTTAGTTCCAGAACAACCACCTTTGTTTGTTTTACACATTTCCCATGAAAGCTCACTTTCCCTTGCTCTGGGGCTACTGCAATGCTTAAGGACAAGCAAATGCAGTTGAAGAGACACTTGTTCCTCCTGGAGCTGATCAGCACGACAGGATCACCATAAAGAGGTCACACAACAATTTACATATTTACTAACTTTTAAAGATTGAAAAGTTTGGCCTCAGAGAAATTATGCCTGTCTGACAGATCTCAAGCAAACAGCATTACTTTTAGAAGGAAACAAGCCATACAAGGACACTGTGATAGGAAAGAAAAGCAGTGTAATGAATTAGGCAATGCTTGAGATGGACCCAACCTCAGAAGAGTCATCCTGAAGACTTCAAAAGAAGTGGCTGGGCTGCTAGACAAGGCAGTGCCATTGCACTGAGCCTTCAGAGCAGATCAAGTGCTGAAGTTCCACCTGGGTGCACCATTATTCCCTCAGTCCCACCTACCTACCATCAGCAGTTGCCTCGGGATGCTCGTCCGCAGCGCCACGTCGTCTTTTGCTGTGTCAAACACCAGGCCAGGAATTGCATCCAGTAAGAAATCTCCCCAAGAGCTGATGGACAGGAAGAAACAAACAAACAAAAAAATTCCTGAAATAGCTGCGCTGAAATAAGACATCACAACTGGTGTCATGGGCTGGAGCCCCCGAGAATTCCAAATCTGCTGAGTGCCTTTGGCCCTTCCGTTCCTGCTCTGTAGCCTCAGGCAAAGGCTTATGCACATGTGTGTCCTCACTACCCTCAGGTCAGGGGCACTTCTACAGAGGGAAGGAACTGGCTTGAGAAGGGTCCAGTTTCTTCTGCTTCCAGGTGCTTGCCATTTATCAGTGACTTCAGCTTAAGCGAATGAAACAATTCCTCCTGGAGCCTTTATCATCCAGCCACGGGCACATACAGCCCCACTGCACACAGTGAAGTGTGTGGGGCTGGTTTTGTCACTTAATGTGCTTTTGAGACATTTATATTGAAGGAGGAAACGTACCCAGGGTTATCAAATCCAACAGGGCATCAGTTTTCAGCTTGACTAGAAACTTAATTACAACCCCAAAAACAAGATGCCTGCAGGGATTTTAATGACACCTGACAGGCAGTTTGTAGGTGTCTTGTTTGCATTAAATCCCCATACTTAACCAAAAACATTGGCTTTGATCCCTGTGCTTCTGTTCCCCACTTGTAACAATAAACCAGAGGAGAGGGAGGATCCTACTCCTACCTGCACCTTCTGTGCCCAGCTTGAGTCAACCTCAGCAGGAAGAGGCTCACACCAAAGTTCTGCCCTGTCCATGGGTGACCTTCTTCCCTTCCACATCCTGAGGCTGATTTAATGGACAAACATCCAGGGCTGCCAGCAGAACTCCCATCCACCCAGGGCAGGCAGCAGGGCAGGGCCTGTCCTCCAACATACACTTCACCTTCTGCTCTTGCTTTCCCTCAGCACTCCCTGCTGTCAGCTCTGATCTCTAGACACTACTTTAGTTTAGGAAAAAGAAAAAGTGACACTTTTTGTAGTCTCAATATTTTTTTATCATCTCCACTCAAGTGTTCCACTGTCTGCTACGCAGTGGAAGGGAAAAATTCTGGCCAGTGAAAGGAATTAGACATCTACTCCTCACTGCTTCCCTTCTTTTGCCCCCATAGTCTCCATCTGCCAGCAACTGTCTTCAGCTACTCACTGCTTTTCCAAACTGCCCTGCTTATCCCACATGTGCACACTTCTCTCCTGCTGGGATCTGGCCCAGACAAACCTGAAAATACTTGAAAGTGCCACCTCCACCAGCACTTCCTCCACAACTGCTTTCAAGGATTTCTCTTCAATTTGCCAAGGAAATGTTTCCAGATCATACTTCCATCTACAAGCCAAGTCAGAACACCAGCCTGCACCAGGACTCCTGCTTGTTTTCCCTGCACTTGGTGACAGGAGGTGCAGAGGCAGGATGTCAGCACCTCATTACCAACAGCCTTAATGGGGGATGACTCCACTTTTTAGCCTTGGAAGAAGAGCAGCTTTTCCTTTTCCTCTCCTGTTTTTTGGGTTTGTTTTTTTTTTTTTACCTTCTGAACAAAAGAACACGTGTGTAAATTGAAATAATCTGAACCCAACTTTTAGGAAGACTCACACCTTTGAGCAGCTTCCTCTTAACCCTCTCTCCAGGTTGGAGGAGTGGCCAGAGGAAGAGTTACCAGCCCATCCTGGGCTTCCAGAATGGCACAGCTGGTGGTTAGAGATTCATCTCACAGTTATCTAGAATATGCCCAAACTTGTTCTGCCCTTCCTAATTCCTAACTCAGACCAATGGCTCCAAACCCAGCATCTGGGAGGCTGATTAGGTTGGCAACAACACTTCCCTATGTGATAACAGTGTGGGCACAAGGACTGGGAGTGTGTCATAAGAAATCTCACTTGCATACATGGGGTAGGAGATAAAAAAACCACAGATAAGCAGAAAATATTTGCAAGGAAGAACTAGCAGCAAATCTGACAGAAGATTAGTGCGGGTGACTATCAAATACAGGAGAAAACATGATGAAAGGAGTAACTCATGACTCTTTATCTGAGCTATGAAATGAACAGTAACTTCAGCCACTGATGATTTTTTTAAATATAGGAGTGAGTTTGCAGTTGTAGCATCTTCCACATTAAAGCCTACAGCTGATAAATAGTAAAATAAGCAATTAAAAAGCAATCGAGCTTGCTGCATGAAAACCTCTCAAACAGGCTGCTTCAAACAACAACAGTCTTCTTGCTCCCCTCCTTCCCCCAAGCCCCAAAACTTCACCACATCTCAGGTCTTGTACTACTCACACACATCACTTGGCAGAGGAAAGCCACACAAAACAAAAGATAAAGAATAATTACTTGTTTTGGTAGGTACTGATGGTGACGTGTGTTGAATGGGAGGTCCCAAGAGGAGTGTCAGCTTGGTGGATGGTCCCTCTTGGGAAGTACAGTAAGTCACCTGGCTGCAAGAAAATTGATATATTTAGGGCACCAGGTCAAACCT